ATAAATTAATGGGACTGAAAGGTGATATATTCCCAAACCTGATATTCTACAGTCTAGAATGTTGAAAGAAATCACAATGGAGATATGAGACTTGCAGAGTGGAAGATTGTAAATGTCATCACACTATTTAAGAAGGGACGGTGTAAGAAAGCAGGGAACTACAGACCTATTATCCTTAGATCAATAGTATGGAAAATGTTGGAATCTATGATAAAGAATGTTCTAAGTGGACACTTGGATAATAATTACCTGATTGTATGCTGAGCTGGCACAAAAGAGGAGTTGAGGCCTGGAGTAGATCAGCCATGAACTAGTTAAATGGCAAGACAGGCTTGAAGGGCTGAATGGTCTCCTTTTCTCATGTTATTATTGGGGATAATGAGCAAGGATTTGTGAATGGGAAATCATGTTTGATGAAGCTGTTGGCATTTATCAAGGATGTTGCTAACAGGATTGGTAAAGGGGAAATTTTGGATGTAGTCTACTTAGATTTTCAGAAAGCTTTTGATAAAGTTCCCCCACAAGATGTTGGTTAACAAAGTTGAAACACATGGGATAGTAGGTATTGTACTGGAATGGATTAAGGATTGACTAACTGGTAGATGAGAGAATGGGAACAATGGGTCATTCTTGCTTTGGAAGGATGTGTTTAATAAGGAAGTTTATGGATGATACACTGCTAGAATTAGAACTAGAATTAGGTTTATTGTCAGGAATGTGTGCTGTAAGAAAGATGCAAAGCAGCTTCAAGAAGATTTGAGCAGACTTAATGAATGGGCAAGAACATGGCAGATGGAATATAATGTGGAAAAATGAGGTGTTCCACTTCATAGGAAAAACAAATGTGCAGAGTATTTCTTAAATGGTCAGAAGTTAGAAAGTTTAGATGTACAAAGGGACCTGGATTTCTTCAGGAATAAGTTGAAGTTGACTTGCAGCTGGAGAAAGCAATTAGAAAAATTAACGGTATGTTACCCTTTTTTGCGAGATGATTTGAGTACGAGCAGCAAGGTGTTATTTTGATTGTCTAGACCTTGGTTAGAGCACACTTGGTATCATGTGCAGTTTTCATCCCCTTACATTAGGAAAAATATTATTGCCATAGAGCAGCTGCAATAAAGATTTATCAGACTTGTTCCCATTCTCCCAATAATCCTGATCCCCTTACCAATTGAGAATCTATCTATCTATCTCTGTCTTAAATACACTCAATGAATTGTCCTCCACAGCCTTCTGCGACAGTGAATTCCACAGATTAACCACACTCTGGCTGAAGAGATTCCTCCTCATCTCAGTTCTAAAGGGTTGTCTTTTCATTCCTTAGGCTGTGCCCTCAGGTGCTAGTCTGTCCTTTCCTCATCCTTTTAAACTTCATCGAGTACAGACCAAGAGTCCTCACCTGCTCCTCAGATGGTAAGCCCTTCTCCCCTGGGATCATTCTTGTAAATTTTCTCTGGACCCCCTCCCATACCAACACATCCTCCCTTAGATGCAGGGCACAAAACTGCTCACAATATTCTAAATGCAGCTGGACCAGAGCCTTTTCAGACTCGGCAATACATTTCTACTCTTGTATTCGAGACCTCTTGAAATAAATGCCAACATTGCATTTGCCTTCCCAACTGCCAACTGAACCTGCATGTCAACTTTAAGAGAATTCTGAACATGGACTCCTAAGTCCCTTTATGCTTCAGATTTCCAAATTCTTTCGTTGTTTAGAAAATAAACTATGCCTCTATTCTTCCGACCAAAGTCCATAAGGACTGCTAGCCTGCTGACTGAGTCAATGCAGCAAAGTCTTCAGCTCGAAACACTAACTCTTTTTCTTTACATTGATGCTGCCTAAGCGGAGGTCTTTCAGCTTCTGTTTTATATTCACTGCTGACTGGCCCAACAACATCAAGAATCTGCCTGCCATCCTTAATTTAATGGCAAGCAGAAAGGCAGAAAGGTCACCAATCAGGAGGCCTACTGCGGAAGCTAGCTCCATGAATCTCACACCTGGCAAATGCAGGTTTGAGATCACAGTTGGTTTTGAAATTCAGGCCCAAAGTCTGCAGTAAAATCCAACGCTTCCTCACGAAACAAGTTATCTTCTCAAGTCTTTTGATTATATTCATAGCAGTAAAAAAAAAAAATAGAATGCTGAAAGAAACATTTTTTGGGATCTACTGAATGATTCAATGTGCTCACTTAATGTTTAGTAATGATATTTAGTTGAGCAAATGAAACCTAACAGAAGGTGCTTTGTTTATTAAATATGAAGCACATTCCTAATTATGTCTCGTGGAGCAATTTATATGATTGATGAAATTAGTTTTAATCAATTACAAATCACGCTAATGTTAGATCAGGTTTTTTTTCTTGCAGTTTCATGTATATATGCATCTGCTTCATCAGCTGGGATACACACTGTCCCAGAAATATCATCCATGATACTTTACAATTACCAATTGAACATCTTTTTAGAAGCGAGATAATTTCATTACCGAACTGCCAAGGGGCTATTTTTATATACATGCAAAATTATTGATAAAGACAGACATTTGCCACATGTATTGATTAATTTGTTAAGCAATTGCTGACATCAAGAAAACTTACATCGTACTTGAAGCATTAACTCTGGTTCTCTCCCAACAAATGCTGCAAGACCTGCTGAGCTTTGCTGACATTTTCTGTTTTATTTCAAATATCTATTATCTGCAATATTTTTGGCTTTATTTGTCGATAGCAATTCCCCAGTGCTTTTAACTAAACCTAGTCCAAGCATCAAAGGTAAGAATCACCTCACTCTATTCCTTTACAATATGCCTAATGTTTGCCTCCTTTGCATCATGGTGAACAGAGCTGGCAGGAGACTTATACCAATTTAATCTGATTGAAGTAGTAATAATCAGTAGCAGTAATCATGACTTCCTTGGGCTTCTTTTGGCTCTATAGTTCAATGCTTTATTGGATGATTGATGTTCAATACTGGCTCAACATATTGAACATTATGTCTCCTAACATCGTTCGAATTCATCCTAAACTACTTCAACTATTCAATGGGTACTGTGAGGTTCATTTTTCTTCTAGATGCTTTACAGCAACCTGTATTCAAGATAAATATCCAGTCTGCCCACTTTGTTTTTAGTAGCACAAAACTCCTAAGTGATGGAAGTAGTCAGTTGGTCAGGCAGCATTCATGGAGAGAAATAGTACAACATTTAAAAGGCATTGAGATTTGTACACGAATAGGAAGGGTTTAGAGGGATATGGGCCAAATGCTAGCAAATGGGACTAGATTAATTTAGGCTATCTGGTCAGCATGGACAAGTTAGGCTGAAGGGTTTGTTTCCATACTGTACAATTCTATGGCTTTATGATACATTATTTGACGTGTTCAACTGTCAAAGCCCCATGAATCTCAAAGTATTTCTGAGCATGCTTTAATCAAGACCATGAAGTCTTGGGGATTTATAGCATTTGCATTACATTTAAATCAGTCATTAATCTTCTTCAAGTTATTTTATTTCGGTATGTCACGTTCTCAAGTCATCTCACTCTTTTGGAAGAACTATTGAGAAATTGCCTTATTGAGTGATTTGGAAAAGAGTATTTGTCCATCTTATCTTTGTCAGATTGCATATTCTGACTGAATGCATCTAAAACAAATCCCAGTGTGGTTTCAGAACCAGAAGATCTATAATTAATAAGATCTTCTCAGTTCAGCAGGTGCAATGAACAAAGGAAACCACTATACATTACCTTCATTAATTTTACCAATGCATTCAGGCACATGAACATAGGCATCCTACTTAAGTTGTTAGAGAAAACTCATTACCCGCTGAAACTACTTAATGTGATCTCTTTCCATAACAAGATGATGGAATAATGTCAGGTATGTCAGGGCAACACTGGAACCCTTGGATCTTTGATAGGGTCAAGCAGGGTTATGCTATGGCACTCCAAGTTTAGTCAAGTCTTCACTGAATTGCAGTTATACATCTTCACATTATCCACAGATTAAGTACTTATGTCCCAGAACTGATCAGTGCAGCCTGCTTAAGATGCAAGACAAAGCTGTCCTTAAAGTCACACAATACTCATACCATCACACTGGCATTGCATATTGAAGAACACCTTCCGTGGCAAATGGACATAATCTCTTGTGCCTGTAAAGAGTTTGGTTTGACTATCAGCATGGAAGACGGATGTTAAATTCCAGGATGTTAACATTGACATGGTGACACTGGAGGTTGTTGATAGCTTCACATATCTAGACTCTATAATTATGAGCCATCTATCATTTAATGCTGTAATCAACTCATCAAAAAAGCTGTGGATGTTATGTCCGAGGTGAGTAACAATGCGGAACTATAACAACCCAAGATTAACAAACTGAATGCACCAAGCCTGTGTCCTTAGTGCGCTCCTCTAGTGATATCTGGGTAATTGTTAGGCAGGATCAAGCAGATGAACAGTTTCCATCTTTGCTAGTTCAGATATATCTGGCATTTCTTGGCTGGACAACACCAACAATATCAATATAATGGAGTTCTAAGGAAGGGTCACCGGACCCGAAACGTTAACTCTGTTTTCTCCTCCACAGATGCTGCCAGACCTGCTGAGCTTTTCCAGCAACTTTGTTTTTGTTCCTGATTTACAGCATCCGCAGTTCTTTTGGTTTTTACCACCAATATCATAGTGACCCAACAGCAGTTCATTGGATGGATGACAGCCACATACCCAAAAACCTCCTAAAAGGTTGCATCACTAAGAAATTATACAGTTGCTATTGTGTTGAACATTAGAAAACATCCAGATGCATCACCCCAGGAGATAGCAAGAACTGCAGATGCTGGAGTCAGAGTCAGCACGGTGTGGAGTGGAGGAACACAGCAGGTCAGGCCTGCTGAAGGGTGTAAATCCGAAATATTGATTTTCCTGCTCCTCTGATGTTGACTGATCTGCTATGTTCATCCAGCTCCACACCATACTGACAGATGTATAATCCATTATCTAAAAAAGATCATTTTATTAAATTAGAAATGAAAAATAAATTCAATTCACATTAACTAAAAAAAAGTTTGTTATTTACATAAAGCACTGTCTGGTCTCCACCCAGAACCACCACCGATGACAAAATTGGGCATTTCTGGTCACTGTGCAACAACGTATGTGATCTCCATGTCTTATTTGGTGCACATCTACAATCCTTATATAGTTGGTTTCATTTAAAACAAGTCCCGTTGTGTTGGCTATCAAAAATTGTATGTTACAGTCCAAGAAGCCTCTTTGCATCCTCACTTTGAGCCATTAAAGTTTCACTAGCATATTTCTGTAAGAGCTCCATTTTCTTCCGTCGTACAAGAGCCTCCTCAATCTGTAATGGCAGAAATTAAAGATACTGTCAAGTTCTTATATTCAAAAAAGTAGTCCAAATAGATAATTATGTTAAGTACTAAATAGAATTATATGCTGTAGAGCAGAACGATCCAAAACTGTAGAAAGAGCTTGAAATAAGTCACATTTGGAAGTGCTCATGACTCAATTTCTTAAGAATGTACTATGAGCAACATTTGATGGTCATTTTTAGAACATCATTCCTTCAACCCACAGCTATAATCACAATTAGCAGCCTGAAGTTAAAAATCACAGGCAATTATGTTCTCACACACAATCTGCACTTCAGTGTTATTGTATTTAGAACTTCTTCCATGTTTTCTTACCTCTTTCTGTGATGGTACAGGAACATGAGCTATAAATTTTTGCTGGTTTTCCTCTCCTTCCATCTGTTCCCCACCTTCATCATCAGACTAATTAAATAAAATAAATTTATTAGAACCAGAATCATGTTTTGGATTATACAGATTATCATATGCATTTAATAATGTAATTTTTAGAACAAAGATCAAAATGTTTAGGTGTCACGACTTAAAGTTTTAGCTGCTGAAAGAAACATTAACATTCTTTTTCTTTCTCTAGTTACCAACATCATTTTTTTCATCAGCAGAAAAAGCAAAAGAAAGGCTTAACTATCAGACATTAATGGGGAAAAAAATGGCATAAATATAGAAAACACAGAACTGCATTGAAGAAGGTTTTGTGTACAGACCACACCATCTATGTAATCTTAAAAAACAGATCAAGTCTTACAGGCATCTGAATATCAAACTACAAAAACTGCCAGAATATTCTTTTGTGAAGACACATCTTTACACAAAAATTATGTTTCTGCGTCATTGTAAAAATGATTTATGGCAGATTTTGATATTGGGGGATTCTGTAACAATAATACATTGAATGTCAAGTGGAGATGGTTAGATTCTTTCTTATTGGAGATGGCCATTACCTGCACTTGAGACTTAAGTCGCTTCTCAGCCCAATCCCTGAATGTTTTCTAAGTCATGCTGCATTCAGATATGGACTACTTCAGTACTTGGAGTTCCGAATCTTATTGAACATTTGTACAATCGGTGAACATCGCTACCTCAATGACTTTCCCTCCAACATAAGGTCTGAAAATGAATAGCATTATGACGCTATCCTGGGCAACTCCTGCAGCAATGTACTGAGACAAACAATTGTCTTCCACTAACCACAGCCATTCTTTTGTCTTTCTTTGTGTTGGGGATGACTGCATGTATGAATTGCATTGGCTTCAATTTTGCCATGGTTCCTTGATGTCACACTCCGTCACATGTTGTTTGATATCAAACACAGTCATTCGGAGTTCACCTCTGAATTCAGCCCTTGCAGTACCCAAACTGAGCATTGCTGAATAGATTATTACTGTTTAAGTTACCCTTCATAGCGCTGCCAAAAGCGATCAAAAGGAGGCAGACGAGGCTGTATTTGAAAGGATAGGATTTTTCCTGATTTTTGTGGACAGGACATAACTAGGCAATTTTCCACATTGTCTGAAAGATGCCAGTGTTTTCCAAAACTAGTGCTATGCAGAAAAAAGGTCAGTCACAATCTTACTTTATGATGGAACAGACCAGTGAAGTGATATGAACGTTGCTTCCCCCATTTCTTAGGTTCTTATAGTCATCAGATATCATTACATATATGCTCTTCGGAGTGTTGGTGTGGACTCAATGGGCTGCTTCCACACTATAGGGATTCTATGATCTATGATCTTTTCTGTGACTATTCCAATTCAAATTCAGGTACCACATTTACCTCATCATCTTTCACTGCATAAATGTTTACTTCTTCCTCCTCTTCTTCTTTGTCACCTCCACTTTCAAGTCTGGCCTCTTTATCAGCCTTCCATTTTTGCACAGCTTCTATTATAACTATGGGCGGGGTGGGGATGGAGGGTGGTGGTGGTGTGGGGTAGAGAAAGAAAAGTTCAATTCAAGTGTAAATTTTGTTGCCAGTTAGTTTGCCCTTGGTCTAAGCACAAATGCTCTTGTTCACCTTAAGATCCAGATCACTAGGCCATATGTCTATTACTGATAGTTATTTAATCACATGACTGGAAGCCATAACAGATATAGCTGATCATAATGAAGACTTCTAGCTTTCAGCATCTGGGAACTGTGGAATTCAAAGCCAGCATATTTAGCAAACAAACCATCACAACACAACACGTACTACTGATCTATGACTTCAGATTTCAGTTTCAAACTTATTCATAAATGATGCTGATTGCCTAAGACATCTATATCTGCTGACATACAGATGACTATGAATGGATTGCATTGCAGAATGCAAAAATTGTAGATTTAAGGGGTTGGAATTTCAGAGCAAGAGAAGGAAATGATATTTTCAAAATAATTAGAGGAACTGATAGGGCAAAGAGAAAGAAGACTTGGTTAGAAGACTAGAATCAGGAGAAATTAGAACAGTGAAATCAGGAAGCACTTCTGCTCACAAAAGGGTTGCAGAAGTTCTGCAAGCTCAAATTGATACTAGATCAATTATTCATTACAAATCGGAGATAAATAGACTGGGTGTATAACAGGCTCAAGGGACTAAATGATTTATCCCCACTTTTAACATATCAGCATGCAAAAAGTTTAGCACTTTTTTTCCTGCAAGCACTGTGGTGTGTATTACTTACGTGCTTTATTGGGTATTTTTAAAATGTACACTATCCTTTGCAAATCTGAGATGCCCAAAATTATCACAATTAATGAAATTACACTGGTAATCACATGCACATGCACAGTTTTTTTACTGCATCAACTAAACCAATTTAGTTTATTAATGTTACATATTACATCAATGTAATGTAATAAGAAATGAGATACCACTGATGAGAGGAAGTCACATGTACTTCATTAAAATCTAAACCGTTCACATATTGCAATCGTATGTCTTTCTGCAGAAGTCTACAAATTTCATTTTCAAATTCATTCACACGATGTGGGCATTTACTGGCCATTCCTAATCACACAGAGGACAGTTAAGAGTCAACCACATTGCTACGGGTCTGGACACACGTGTAGGCCAGACCCGCTAAGGTTGGCAGTTTCCTTTCCTAAAGGACATTAGTGAACCAGATGGGTTTTTCCAACAATTGACCACATTTTTATGGTTATTATTAGGCACATAATTCCAGGTATATATTGAATTAAAATTCCACCATCTGCTTTGGCAGGATTCAAACCCTGTTCCCAAGAGCCTTTTCTGGATTAATAGTCTAGTGATAATACCTCTTGGCCTTTGCCTCAACCTTCACAGGCACCTAACAGAAAGCTAGTAGGTGACAAAATTAAGTGTTCAGCTTTAAAACAAAATCAACATGGCAGAAACTAATTTCAGATTAGCTGAGAATGGCATCCTTCCATGTGACAGATGATGGGAATGCAGCCTCAGAATTTATTGGAGTTGGTTGAGATCATTACTGTGATATCATAAATACTGGAAGCATTGTTAGAAAAATAAAACTTTTCCCCATGCTCATACACATACTTATTAGGAAATTCATTCACGTGTCATTACCTTAATCACATTCTCATGATCATTATCCACTTCCCAGAGCATCTCAGTCAAACTCAGCAGCTAGTTGTGCGTGCAGATTTATACTCCCTCTGCTCTAAGCAGCAGGACAGTAAATTTTTGTGTGGCTCTTAAGCAAGACAGTGATTAGAGTTACTACCCCAAAAGAATTACCACTATTGTTCTAAACTGACAATGCATGACCAGTCTTCAAAGAACAAATTAATGCAATAACTTTACCCTAAAACAGATACCATTATTGCTCCTTTTTTAACCACACCTACATTGAAGTTTTGAAGGTATGCAGGGTCTGAATAAATAAGACTAATTCAGAAACACTAAGCATATTGCCAAAATTGCATGCATTTGGAATTTAACTGACTGAAGCACTGATTTGTGACTGAAGGAGAACCACATGATCTATAAAGAAATATGCTTAAAACCAGAGCATGCAAAAAAGATAAAAGAAACCCTTCTGCAAACTACAATAATAAATTATTTAACATACTAAACTATATTCTTGAACGTAAGACAGAACAGCACAGTTAGTTAAAATAACAATATCCTCTGGATCTGAATACAATCAAAATGAATAAAAACTTGGTTATTAAAGCAGAGTAAATAAGAAATAGTAGTACATATGGACCAAGGTTAAAGATTAAAGACTAAATGGCTGGATTTTCCTATTTTTAGGCAAAACATTATTTTTGGGACATTTAACAGCAGGGATCCTGTCAGAGACTAATTTTCACTTTTTACATCATTGATTGTGCAACTGGCCTCATTGGCATCCTTCTCGTGCATTCATGTGGCAGGAGAGGCGAGATTCCAGCCACTGTCAGGATACAAGCGTACAGGCCACCACTGCCTCATATTTAAAGCCCAGGTGGACACACTGCAGATGCTGCAAACCAGGAACTACCTCACACATTGTCATCTTAGGAAACCAAAATGTCTCAGGAGGGGAAGCTGGCACCCTGCTTTTCAGATGTGGATTTGGAGATCCTGGTAGACGGGGTGGTCAAGAAGGCCTTTTTTTTTAAACCATGCAGGTTACAAGATGATGCCAAGAAACCAAACATAGCAGGCATGGACAGCCTGGGTCAGTGCTGTCTGCAAGATCAAATGGAATGTAGAACAGTGCATCAAAAAGGTCAATGACCTGTGTTTCACAAGGGTAAGTGCAATAATAATCTCAGACCTCATACTTACTCTAATTCTACCAATGCACACAAACCTCACCAATGTTCATTCACTACCAACTTCATTGTTGCATGCAGCAAGGCAACAGCTCTCTCCACCCTCACTACTAACCGTTCCTATATTCTGATTAAAAAGCTTTGCAATCCAGAAAGTCTGGGAGCCTTCATGTAAGTGCAAATTGAGTGAGTGCTAAGAAATGAAACTAAGAGCCACGTGATGCGTCCTGTACTGATGAATGAGACGGCTAGCAGAAGCATGAAAATCAAAGGTGTCCCTGAGCTCTAAAGTAAAGAGCTGAAAGGCTGAAATGGATCCTGATTAAATCCGAGATTAGCCATAATAATAATCGGGAGGCTGGTAATTTGCCGATGCCAACTATGGTAGATGAAGGTTGAGGAGGATGTACTGTGGAACAATTCAACAACATGTTGGTGAAGGAACTCTAAAATGGAGTCCTGGAGAGGCAGGCAGTCAGTTGCATCTGCAAGGTACCCACAGTGACTATCAAATCAGGAACTGTTGCCATCTAATTTCTTGGGAGAAGTGAGGAGAATTACAAACTTCATATAAATAAGTTTGGGGTATTAATAACATGCAAATGCATGGAAGCAAGGAGTCGTCACATCAGGAAGATCCTGATTTCACGATTTACATTTTGAGGGGAAGAAAACAGAATTGTTTTTTCTTAAATGTTCAGAAGCAGATCTTTTCAGTTTCACTATATTTCCCCATAATTTTCACTACTGCCCACATCATTCAAAGCATGGGAAAATGTAAGTGAGCTCTAAAGTAAAGAGCTGAAAGGCTGAAATTACATGGCAACAGTTCCTGATTTGATAGTCACTGTGGGTACTTTGCAGATGCAACTGACTGCCTGCCTCTCCAGGACTCCATTTTAGAGTTCCTTCACCAACATGTTGTTGAATTGTTCCACAGTACATCCTCCTCAACCTTCATCTACCATAGTTGGCATCGGCAAATTACCAGCCTCCCGATATTATTATGGCTAATCTCGGATTTACTCAGGATCCATTTCAGCCTTTCAGCTCTTTACTTTAGAGCTCAGGGACACCTTTGATTTTCGTGCTTCTGCTAGCCGTCTCATCATCAGTACAGGACGCATCATATGGCTCTTAGTTTCATTTCTTAGCACTCACTCACTCAATTTGCCTTAATGGGAAAAGTAAAATAGAATATTCTGAAGAGGAGTGATATTCGATTCCAAGTGTTAATTCCAATTTTCTTTCCACAGATGCTGCCAGACCTGCAGAAGTCTTCAGCATTTTTTTTAATCTCAGATTTGTAGCATCCATAACATCTGCTTTTATTTTAATATTTTTAAAAGCCACAGAACAAAACTAAAAGCACGCTTGATAAAACTCAGCTTAATAATACAGTAAGAACAGAGCCATGCAATTCAGTCTCGAAATGGTTCAACTGCTACAACTGATCTCAATGCTCCTTTGATGGAGCTCAAATTATATAATGTAGTCCCATTTTCAATCACTCTCCAGCAACCCTACTTGGAAGAGTATGTTGTATGGGTGCCCACACATGTGCGGACAAGTCATAGAATTCTTGAATGCCAAGGCTCAGTCGACCAGTGGTAAATTTGCGACTAAAGAGTTAGTCAACATTACAGTCCCATTTCAGGCTGATAACAGAACAGAGGGAACAAAATAGATATGCTGTCAGAGATAGTAGGAACGGCAGATGCTGGAGAATCCAAGACAACAAGGTGCAGGGCTGGATGAACACAGCAGGCCAAGCAGCATCATAGGAGCAGAGAGGCTGACGTTTCGGGCCTAGACCCTTCATCAGAAAAGGGGGGAGGGGAAGGGGGTTCTGAAATAAATAGGGAGAGAGTGGGAGGCGGATAGAAGAGGGATAGAGGAGAGGATAGGTGGAGAGGAAACAAACAGGTCGAAGAGGCGGGGATGGAGCCGGGAAAGGTGAGTGTAGGTAGGGAGTTAGGAAGGGGATAGGTCAGTCCAGGGAGGACGGACAGGTCAAGGGGGCGGGATGAGGTTGGTCGGTAGGAGATGGAGGTGCGGCTTGAGGTGGGATTTCACAAGTTTCAAAATCTCCCCTCCCCCCAACGCATCCCAAAACCAGTCCAGCTCGTCCCTGCCTCCCTAACCTGTTCTCCCTCCCACCTATCCCCTCCTCCCACCTCCAGCCGCACCTCCATCTCCTACCG